ATTCATAAACAACCCAGTCCTGAGCCATCCTCACAATTTTTCTTATGTTTGAAGCCGTTGTTACTGTCACTATGTCAAATCATTTCGCCAAGGGCCTTCCTTTTGTTTGCTGTCCCTGTGCTATACCAAGCATGATGTCCTTTCTCTCTTGATGACATGTCCAATGTAGGTGAAATGAAATCTCACCATCCTGGCTTCTATGGAGCATTCTAGATGTACTTCTTCCAAGACAGATTGATTGGTTGATTGATTAATTCATTTATTTGGCAGTCCATGATACTTTCAATATTCTTTTCCAGAAATATAATTCAAATACATCTATTCTTCTTCTTTGGGCTTCCTTATTCAATGTCCAACTTTCATATGCATGTGAGGTGACTGAAAGTACCATGGCCGGGGTCAGATTCACTGTAGTCCTTAAAGTAAAATTCTTGCTTTTCAATACTTTTAAGAGGTCAGACATAGTCAGAGCTTATTATAGAAACTTATATTTTCAGATGAGAAAACAAAGTTAAACTAGATTTTTCTACGAATACAATTCCCATTACATGCAAAATGGTAGCAATTTATCTGCAGTCAATGGCATATTGCGGTATCTGTCGGGCTTCTAACTGCAAGATCAGTGGTTTGAACCCACCAGATATTCGATGGGATAAGGATGAGGCTTTTTGTACCTGTAAAGATTTACAGCATTGGAAATCTAGAGAGTAGTTCTACTCTGTCATATAGGGTTGTTAGCAGTGGGAATTAACTCCATGGTAATTAGGTGGGTTCTTTATTCTTTGTTATAAGGAAGTTACATGGAGAAAGTTCTCAACAGTGTCTGTGAGTTCCTATTCATTTTATATATCATATAAGGGAATGGAACATTCAAGAAGTGCTTAGAAAATACCTATGCCTTTTAATCCTGACAATGCTGCAACAAAAATAGAATTTTAGACTAACAGAACTGAAGCAAAACTAGCAAGATTAACTAACCAGTAATTGTCAGAGATGTGATTCAAGCCCAGGCTTGTCTGCCTCTCAATCTTTGTCCTTCTCATGATGGTACAAGTACAGCTCTCATGGAATGGTGTTTAGCCACAGAGAATTAGGTAATGATATCTGCCCTTTCATGTTTAGAACTCATTAGTCCATATAATCCTGAAACTTATAAATACTTAATGATAAGTACTTTTAGTACTGCCCACTGGGGGGCAGAAAGCAATTTCCAATTGATTGAATGGCCTCTCGGACATGGTTTACCAGTAGTGTCAGGCAATTCAGCCTTTTTATCTCTACCAGTAGACTTCGTTTATTCTGCATTGATGGACACAATAGATGGATCTTGAATCAGGGTGAAGATTCCTATTTCTTCCCATAAACTATAAAGAATTGGGCCATCAGGTGAGAGATTCCCTCTGCCTCCCGTTCAGTGAGAAGGAAGGTGAATTGTGGGCATCTTGGGAGTCATGCTGGTTCATCACCCATCTCCCCAGTGCTATTCTGGTGCTCTGCATTAATTAGTTAGGAATTAAAACTGGGGGAATGTGTGCTGTGGACTGATTTTAATTGCAACAACGGAGTTTTTCCTATCCCGGCATACTTTTTGTTTAGTGCCTGCACTGAACACTGACACGTGTTTATAAGACAGATGGATAATGTTAGAGTTATAATCTGTAACCAAAGATTAGATTAAAAAGAAATGCCACTTATTCTATTATGTTCCTGACCTTGTTGTAAATAATGGGTAGTCTCTATTTTTAAATGAAGTCACCTATTTAACTGGAGACATTTTAACATCACACTAATTATATTTAATAATGGACATTGCAATAACAATTTATCATTGGTTAAATATTTTGCAACGCTAATGTTTTGCTTGTTCCATCTAACTCTCCTTTTTTCTTAAAACATATAATCTCTATCTGTGTCTACTCTATTGGAATAATGCTATTTGTATATACTTCCATAATGTTTCCGTTTAATAGTAAATGGGAGGAATAGCATTGAGACCCTACATGTCCATTTGTTTATATCGAGTGTAAATGAAAGTGCCCTGGTGACATAATGAGTTATGAGTTGGGCTACTAAACACAAGGTGAGCAGTTCAAACTCATCACCACTATGTGTAAGAAAGACAAGGCATTTGTTCCCGTACAGGTTTACAACCTTGGAAAACGACAGCGACAGTTCTATTTGCCGGTCAGGTTCAGTGTGGGTCAGAATTGACTGAATGGCAGGGTAGAATCTCTGAGAGATAAGTGTAAAGGAAATGTTACATGTAGGTCCTAATCCTAACAATGCAATTCACTAGTCTGTGGCCTTCCATGAACAGTGTTTAGTTTCATAAGTTACTATATTTAGGGACTAGGTTAAGGCTTCTTTAACCTCAAAATTCAATGACTCTAACAGTTCTGAATAAATATGGATTTTACCCTATAATGCCCTCCCAGTAGAGTAAATATAACAGAGTAAATAAATATATCTCAATATTTTCATTTGCATTGCTTTAATTCATTGTTATAACAATATAACATTTAGAGACTTTGAAAAAGGACAAAACATCATCACTCATGCTTTTAGGACCCTTCCAGTTTGATCCCAAAATAACCGTCTTTGTGGTTCCAGGCACATGAGTACACCCACATACAGTTTATTTGGTGACAATCAGTGTGTAGATATGCTTGTGTACCAGTTAAAACAGTTCCCATGGATCATGGTCACTGACCCTGTGTTAAATACTTTATATGTCAAATCATTTTATCCTCACAAGAATATGTGAAATTGGGTGCACTTTTCCAATCTATTAGATGAAGAAATCAAAGCTTACAGAGTTTAAATCATTGGAGGCCACACAACTAGTTAAGTGGTGAAGCTGAGATTCAAATTCATGTGAATTGTATTTCAAACTCTTCCTTTTCACTACTAGCTTATCTTTCCTTTTTGGACTTAACCTGAGAGTTTATATTTTCACAATTATTATTATTTCATATTCTGAAAGTAGATGAATTAAATCTAATTAAAGAATACTTTGTTATTGGACTCTAAGCTGCTTCTGGATCAGGCTATTATGAATAAAAAGGTAAGAAGCTTCTTCTTGATAAAGGTTTTTCCATCATTTGGATTATTTTCATTTGTTAAAATTCCAGAAATATAGTATATCAAAGGATATGAGTGCTTAGTTACTTTTAGTATATATATTGCCCCAATCCACTGTCATTGAGTGATTCAGACTCATAGTGACCCTATAAAGGGTTTCCAAGGCTGTAAATCTTTATGGGAGCAGGTAACCTCACCTTTCTTCCATGAAGTGGCTGGTGGGTTTGCACTGACAACCTTGTAGTTAGCAGTTCAACACTCATCTGACAATGCTATCAGGGTTCCAGGTTATTATAAAAGCTGGTACTAATTTACATGGTATCAGTTTTTCTAGCATTCGAGCCGCCAGGCACATGCTTAATACTCTGACATAAACTTACTCAACAACTCATCTCACTGCCATGGAGGCGCTCCTGACTCAGTGACTCTAGCTTATGAATATGACTCATGACAGTGGACAAAAGTATAGGTCTAGGCAGAGGAAAGACCAAAAACGTTGCTGAAGAATAGCATCTAAAGTGCGTGCTAGCAGTCATGGTTTAATGTGTTTTGCTTGCTTGTTTTGGGGTGCAGGAGAGTGTTGTGGGTGCAACAGAGGATGAGAGGATCAGCTATAAATGAAAATGAATAAAACATGGTAATAAATTTAGTCTAGGTTAGGACAAGACCTAAGAGTAGAGATAATGACTCAGAAAACCAAACTCACTGCCATTGAGTTGATGCCAACCCTATAGGCATCTAAAGAACTACCATGGTAGAACTACTCATGTAGGTTTCAGAGACTATAACTCTTTATGCGAGTAGAAAGGCTTATCTTTCTCCTGCAGAGGGCTGGTGGTTTTAAACTGCTAACCTTGCAGTTGACAGTCCAATCCATAACCACTACCTGTGCTAATAGGAGGGGAAATTAATAGTTGGCACTTACTGAGCTATTATCATTGCAATTTTATAGAGAAACTGATATAGAGTGGTTAAATAATGTGTCCATATATACATAGCTTTTAAATGCTTAGTAGCCTTGGTGATATCAGTGTTTATGCATTGGGTATCGATCTGCAAGATCAGCAGTTTGAAACCACTAGTTGCTGAGTGGGAGAAAGATGAGGCTTTCTACTCCCTTAAAAAGCTAGTCTTGGAAACTCACAGTAGCAGTTCTACCCTATCCTACAAGGTGGCCCACCATGCATCAGAATCAAGTTCATAGCAGAGTTTTGTAAATGGTTGAGATTGAATTCCAACTCTGGCCGTCTGATCCACTATTTAAAAATGGAGAGCTAACAAAAATTTAAGATTGATAAATTTATAATGAAAAGTGAATTGATTTGTGGATCCCAAAGACATCAAATAGGGAGGTCAAAGGGGGAATACTGGAGAGTGAGGAGTGCACTAAAAATAATTATAGTTATGTTTTGTTGAGGTTCAGAGAGTTTGTATATATTAGCTCATTTAATCCCAATAATTCGGAGGCAAATATTAATTTAGTTCTCTTTTTCAAGATTAAAAGACATACGACAAACAACACATTCTCTGCTTGGGTTGCGCGCGTTATACCTCAAGAGATGGTTCTTAGCAAGTTAGGAAAATCGAAGGAACCTTGGCCACGAGTAGAGCAGGTTTAGGCACGCAGGCTGAAAGTGAGGAATGCAGGGAAAATTTCCCATTTCGGAAACGGCCGGGTCCAGCTTTCGAATCTCCCCCGCCGGCCCGCCAAAACGTCACAAAGCCCGCCTCCCAGACACAAGCCACGCCCCCATCCGTGGCCGTTCTCGGAGTTCCCAATGCATCCCTCCTTCCTTTGCGCTCCTCCTCCCTGGCCTAGCATCGCTTCCTGTGCGCTGCGTGCTGATTGGCTCGGAGGGCGGAAGTGAGGGCGGGCGGTGCGGCCGTTGCCGCAGTGACAGTGCTGGGGGAGCCCGAAGATGGCGGCGTCGCGTCGCTCTCAGCATCATCACCACCATCATCAACAACAGCTCCAGCCCGCCCCAGGGGCTTCGGCGCCGCCGCCGCCACCTCCCCCTCCGCTCAGCCCAGGCCTGGCCCCGGGGGCCACCCCAGCCTCCCCGACGGCTGGGAGCCTGGTCCCCTTCGCCTCCCCGCGGCACGGCCTAGTACTGCCGGAGGGGGATGGCACTCGGGATCCGCCCGACAGGCCCCGATCTCCGGACCCGGTGGACTCTACTAGCTGTTGCAGTACCACCAGCACCATCTGTACCGTCGCCGCCGCTCCCGGGGTCCCGGTGGCCTCTGCTTCTCCTGCCGTCGGGGTCGCTTCCCCCGCCACCGTCGTGGGCACTACCAATTCGCCGTCGTCGTCCTCTTCCCCGACGTCTTCCTCCTCTTCCTCGCCGTCCTCTCCTGGATCGAGTTTGGCGGAGAGCCCGGAGGCTGCTGGGGTTAGCACCACCGCCACCTTGGGGCTGGGGGCGGCGGGACCTGGACCCGGGGTCCCAGCCGTGAGCGGGGCCCTGCGGGAACTGCTGGAGGCCTGTCGCAATGGGGACGTGTCCCGGGTCAAGAGGCTGGTGGACGCTGCAAACGTGAATGCCAAGGACATGGCCGGCCGGAAGTCTTCTCCCCTGCACTTCGCTGCAGGTCAGAGACTTTCTGAATTGTTCATTAGGCGTTTGGGGCTTGGGGCCGGGGGTCTCGGTTGGGAGACAGAAGTGAGTCAGTGGCTGGGACAGCACGGGGGCGTGGCTGTAGTTCTTAGAATCTGGACCTGAGGAGGTTCCTTTCTTCCCTCTGCCCGGCCGACGGGGGCGTGGTGGGCAGGGAGGGTACTGTGTGAGCCTGTTCTTCTGAGTTTCCACAGGGATGCTAGTACTCAACTCCAAACTCTCTGTAGAGGTGGTCACTTTACCACGAGTGTCCCTTACCTGAACGGTTTAGTTCTAAATGTGTCGGAATCAAGCCAGATTTGAGCAGCCTTCGAATTTTCGTTGGTTTGCTTGTTTATTACAGTGACCACCAGGATGTGCTCCCCGAGGAAAGGCTAGCCCAAAAGTTAAATGCAACTCAACAAGTGCTTAAGTGTCTGTTGCGGTTTTATTAAACCGATGGAAGGACCTAAGTGACGTTTGTGGAACACTTCGTTCTCTTAGGAAGTTTACAGTGTAGTTGGAGAGGCCAGAATAATTCTGTGTGAGGCAACTGGAGAAGAACATTTGGGAATTGTATGTGGTGATGGAAGAAATAAAACAGCCTTTGACGTTCTGAACACTGCTTTTTATTAGTTGTCTCACACCTGCTCTTCTCTTCGCTGTTTTCACTTACTGTTGGGTAAAAATAAGAGTGGTGGGAGACTGAGGAGAGACATCTGACACATAATAAGTTCTCCCCCCAAAAGTGCTCATTCCAGAGCCCTGGATCCCACACACTAGTCTTTGCCTTTGCTTTTTTAAAGCAGGAATTGAGAATTGTCTTTTAAAAACACTTAAAAAAATACAGAGAAAGCAAAAGCAAAGAACCCAAATCTCAATGTTCTAATAATAGTTTAAAATACAGTAGACATTTTACATTAGAAGTGCATCTTTGTAATATAGAATTAAAATAGGACCAAAAGATACAAAATGATGAAAAAGCACCGCACACGCTCACCTGTGGGATGTCACCTGAAAGATACTCTCTTAAGTTTCTTCCTATGTGTCTGAATGTCTGTCACTCCTTCAGTTTGTTTGTTAATAAATCAAAAGTTTCAGGGAACAACTTTCTATAGTTATAAGAGATTACTTTGACAATTCATTTCATTTTTTTTTAGCAAATGCTGTTTGTGACCTAATGATAGAGCAATTTGAGTAACACAGAAAATCATTATTAGTCACTAGATCAATTTTTGATGTATAAACACTACAGTGAATGGAATTGTAACCAGCTTCCTTCCACTCCCAACATTCAGCGATGTTGCTTATTTCATATGAAGTAGCATTTCTTCATCTTTAGACTAAATAAAAGATCTAAGTGATTTTATAAATCAACATACATTATTTACTTTTGCACAGTCTATTGAAAATTTTAGCATTTAGAAGTTTACCATTTTAAAATATGCAATTTCTCATACCTTGTTTGAAGCATTTGCTAACAAATGATAACAAAGCAAAACAAAACCTCAATCCTCAACTCCCTGTCATTGAGTTGATTCTGATGCACAGGGACCTTGTAAGACAGTAAGTAGCCTTTGGGTTTCCAAGAAAGCCTTCTGTAACTTTCTCCCTTGGAGGCTTGGTGGTTTGGGGCCCAACATGTATAACCCATTAATGCTATCAGGACTCCAAATGATGGCTGCTTATCATTATTTGTTTAATGAAGTACTTATTTAGGATTAGTCACAAACATGAATTATGAGCAGTGTTTTTCTTCAAATCCACAGGCTCTTAGGTTTGCCATGATAGTTTACATTTTTTGGAGTTTTATGTGAATAGTTTACATTTTTTTGAGTTTTATGTGAATCCAGATAAGCAATAAAATAGTAAAACAGGAAAATCGTCATGTGATTATTTTGTAGTCATGTGAATTAAAAAAAAACCCCACCTTTTAAAAAAATCATGTGGAAAACACAAAATACAGTAACAAAGGTTTCCATTCTAAAGCCAATACCTTCTAGTTACCGTATATACTCATGTATAAGCTGAGTTTTGGGGCACATTTTTAATGAAGTTTTTGTGGTAAAATTAGGTGCCTCGGCTGATATTCGGGTTGGCTTATACTTTATATACGGTAATTTACCACACTATCATATTTTTATAGATATCATTAAAGTTTTGCTTAATCTAGTCTTCTCCATCATGTAATAATGAGCAATGCTTTTCTTCTAAATCACTGACTGTACTACAATCATTGCTTTTTATTTTATTTTTGAGTTTTATGTACAGACTGAGTTGTTGGATATGGTCAAGTGAGTTTTGACTCATAGTACCCCATGTAACAGAGTAGAACTGTCCCGTAGGGTTTCTTGGCTGTGGTCTTTACGGGAGCAGATTGTCAGTTCTTGGTGCTGTGGATACCATTGGGTGTTCGCCCTGCTATTCTTTTGGCTATTCATGTGTTTAACCATTTATGCCACCAGGGCTCCTATAAATTGCATAGCTAAAAGTAACTTTACGATAGCTCTTAGTTATCTTAGTATGCTAGTTGTTGAATTTCTATGGGATAACTGTTTGGAAGGGAGAACATGATTACAATCCCTTAGGTGGAAAAGGCCATTTGTTTCACAAATACTGGCAGATAGTGTTTTACCCTCAAGGACTTTGCAGTTCAGTGGGGATGATTAACAGTCACCCAGTGTATTACCTAGAGTGATAGGAAAAGTACATTACAGTGAACCCTCGTTTATCGCGGTTAATCGGTTCTAGACTCTACCGTGATAAATGAAATTCCGCGAAGTAGGATTCCTTATTTGTAAATCAAATATTTTCGTAGTTAGAGCATAGAGGACATGAAA